TTTTTTTTTTCTGGGCCATGGTGGCAGTTTGGGCGTGGGAGAAACTGGCTAAGCGAAGCGCGTGTCGGGCTGGCCGGAGCTCATGCCTCTTGGGGCGGCTAAGTGTTTCGGATGAACGCGACTCGACAGCGACGTGCATCCAAACCTTGTGCGTCGGAGACTGTGGCCAACCCCGGAGGAGCGGCGGAGTTGGCACGCCGACCATGTTGCTTCTGCCACGAGATGGTCTTGGACTGGTTGCCCGCGCTTCTGTAAGGGGGGCGCATGACCTCGTACAAGCTGATGCGGTGGACGATGGCCGATCGCGCAGATCTGGCACGCATTAGCATCGATCTTGCATCGCCCATCATCCGACTCAGGAACTGACAGGGTCCTGGCCGTGCACGCTGAGCCAACGCTGGTGCGAGCCATGCAAAAGACGCACGTTGGAAAAGTTGCCTTGACCTGACTTTGCGAACAAAGCAGAACAGCCTGACTCGAAGGGCCAAAGATTCACTGAAGTCGATCACGCCCGGCGAAAGGTGGCAGTCGCCTACCACAGAGTCTTGCGTCGGCATCTGGGGGCGCCTCCGGACAAGCACGAGTGGCTTGTCGCATCCTGTTCCGTGGCAGCCGGTAGTGGAAGGGTACAGGGAAGGCAATGTGGCTGGTCATATCGCGTCGATCGCCCTCATGAAACGGGCGTACCTCTTACCCTATCCATACGTGCAGCTATTGTTGCGGCAAGGGCGGTGCGAAAATCGGGACTCCGACCGGACACTTTCGAGGTGTCGGTGTACCTGAGATCTGATGTGGATCTGTTGCGATTCCGCTCCGTGTTTCTGATCCGCGCGGGGCGCCAACGAAAAGCACGGCCCAGATGGCTTGCTGTTACCCTGCAGGCCCACCCACGCAGGGTCTTTGTCTTTTCATCCCATTGGGTGTACCAACTGCAGATCGCACAGCATGCCAGTTTGCAGACGAGAGCAGCACAATGGCATCTCCCTGTCCTCCTGAGCAACGACGGAAAAAGGAGCGTCGACCTCCCACGTGGAGCCAATTGCCAACTTTCCGTTGGAGCCAGGAGGCAGGCGTGTCGCAGTTGAGGAGAAACAGAACTCTCTGTCCCGCGCTCTTGGCAGAGCAACCAGTGGCGTTGGCCAAGGTGACATGGGAGCAGAGAGCACAATGGGTCGAAGCGGCACGACTGCGCAGCTGTGCATTGGCAGGCCACACGGCTTCGTCAGAAGCATGCGTAACCAGCGGCCGCGGGCTCTGGTCGTCCATTTGTCACCTTATCCGCCACTTTGTCGTGATGCGAAAATAGGTTTTTTTGGGTGACAAATTCGAGAGACGGATATGGGACTGCACGCGTGCGGTGGCAACGCATGCAGGGCGTTCCTGTGGAGCTGCCGCGAGGCGTAAGCGAGACGCGGCTTCCCACGATGCGTTGGAGCACGGCAGCACGGCATGCAATCAAGGCAGGCCGAGAGACGAAACTGGTCTTCATGGCTTAGCCGCACAGGCACCAGACGGCTCTCTCCGCCGCCTGCATTCCCGTCACAGACACGGGCCGTCGACTGCTTCTTTTGCGAGGAAGGGTTGGCGGCAACGCGCCCCGGGCTGCCGGGTCCAGCTCCGACGCGAGGTCGTCTGCGGCTCCCGCGGTTGCAATGCAAGAAGCTCCGATTCGGATTTGGCCTCGATTGCAGACCCTGCAGTCGTTGACTGGTGCCGACAGCTTGACCTCGGGAAATGTCGTCGCGAGGCGATACGATCATCCCCGATGCTGCTCCTGCACGCTCCTGGCTTCTTGATCGGCCCGTTCTCGTCACCGCCTCTTTGGTTGTCGCTTCTCGCGCGCAACACGCAGCCGAGGCAGGCTGCCGTGACTCTGTGTCGAGGGAGCTCAAGCTTGACAGCGCCATGGGGCTGGTCGGGCGTCCAACGCCCGCTGCTTGTTTCTGACTCAATCCTGTATCTGACGCGACGTCGCGACATCATGGTCTCCTTTAGTCGGTGGAAAGGGAAGGGTCGTTCGGATAGAATTTGGTTCATGCCAGGACATCGGCTATGTGATGTTGCAGTTACTGTACAGTACTGTACAAAGATGCAAGTGAG